GGAAGATAAAGTAGATCATAAACTCTTGAACAATTCTTGAAGACATAGATGTAGGCAAGAGCTTTCTGAACAGAATCATAATGACATAAGAAATAGTACCAAGAATCAATGTGAGATTATATCAAAATGCAATACTTCTGTATGGCAAAGGAAACAATCAGTCGAGTGAAGACAACCTATAGAATGGGAAAAAATTTTACCAGCTGTTCCTCAGCGGACTAATATCTAGAATATATAGAGAACTACAAAAAAAATGAGATCATCCAAAATAAAAACTCAATTATGGCTATGGCTGGTGGCATATGCCTATAATCCCAGCACTCAAGAGGCTGAGGCAGGAGGACTGCCCTGAGTTCAAGGCTAGTTTATTTATTTATTTATTTGTCTTTTTCCTTTTTATCGGTACCAGGGATCGAACTCACGACTGCCTGCTTGCAAAGCAGGTTGCTTATGCCGCTGAGCTAAATCCCCAGCCCCCAAGGCTAGTTTAGGCTACATAGTGAGTTCAAGACCAGCCTGAACTATGTGGTCTCAAAAATGGGCCATTGAAATGAATAGACCCTTCTTAAAAGTACAAATGGCCAATACATACATGAAAAAATGTTGAACATTGCTGGCTCTTAGAGAAATGCAAATTAAAACAACATTGAAATTCCATCTTACCCAAGAAAGAATGGGCATCATCAAGAAATCAAATAATCCTAAAAACAAAAGAAAATAAAAAAGAAAAAAGAAATCCAATCCTGGGTAACTTTCTAAAAGAAATTAAATGTGTCATACCACAGCAATATATGCACACCTAAGTTTATAGCAGCACCCCAAGTGCCCATCAACAAATGATAAAGAAGATATGGTTTCTTTATTTAATGGAGTACTGCTCCACCATAAAAAAGGATACCCTTAGCTCAGCAGCATAAGCGCCTGCCTTACAAGTGAGTTCGATCCCCAGTACCAAAAAAAAAAAAAAAAAAAGGACATACTTGAGACATTTCTAGGAAAATGGATGCACCTTGAGATCATACTCTTAAGTGAAATAAATAGGTCACACGTGTCAGTATCGCATTGTTTCTCTGGTGTGGGAAACTGGAAGTGTAAATAAGGACCAGCAGGCATAATAGGTGTTATGAAACAGGAAGAAAATGTTCAAATGGGAGGGAAACAAGGGAGAGGGAAGGGGGACAGGAAAGAAGGGAGAAGTTTTTAAAAATGAGAAGAGAAGGAAAACACGGAAACAAAGCTTTTGTAACTAGGGAGAGGTAGAGGGGTTGAAGGGAGGGTAGGGGAATCAGGAAAAAAACCCACGTTATATCGTGTACAGTACAAATTCTCTATGAATGAATTGGATCATTAGGTATATCTAAAATGTACCAATAAAATCTAAATTTTTAAATTTTTTTTGTGGTATCAGGGATCAAACTCACAACCTTGTGCTTGCTGGGCAGGCACTTACACTGCTGAGCTAAATTCCCAACCCAAAATCTCATTTAAAACAAGGAAATCAAACAATAGCAAATGCTGGCCAGGCTGATGGGGGGCTCCTTCAACACTATTGCTGGGAAAGTAAATTAGTACAACCACCATGGAAATCAGTATGGAGAGTCTTCAAAAAACTACAACTGGAACTTCCATTTGACCCAGATATTCTCCTAAGTATCTTCCTAAAAGTGTTTGAGACATTATATTACAGTGATACCTTTATACCCGTATTTAGCCACACAACTTTTAATAGCTAAATCTTGGAAGCAGCCAATATGCTCATCAACAGATGAATGAATAATGAAGATGTGGTATTTATACATAATTTACACATAATGGAGTATAGTGGGATTGAGGGTGTTGGGATTAAGGATGGGTGGTTTCCGGATCAGGCCATTGGTTGGACTGGCACCACCCTAATCCCAGTAGACTGGATACAACACAAGGGACAGAAGGAGGCTTGTCTCTCTCTCTCTCTGCTGTTGCTTTTGCTGTCTTATGCCACTATGAATTGTTTCCCCTCTGCTATGTGCCACCCTGCTCTGGAGCCAGCGGATTATGGACTGAAACCTCTACAAACTGAAATTATTAAATTTCCCCCTTTAACTTTGGGGAGGAGTTTATCTCAGAGATGAGAAAAGTAACAGAGAAATATCTTTTGGTCTTTTTCATTTTTATCGGTACCGGGGATTGAACTCACGACCGCCTGCTTGCAAGGTGCTTATGCCGCTGAGCTAAACCCCCAGCCCCTAGAGAAATATCTTTTTCAAACGGGAAGAGGATGGAGGTGGAAGAAGAGATGAGGGATTGAAAAAAGAACTGAAATGTGTCATGTATATGTACCAAGTCCCCACAAGGAATGTCATCATTATGTAATACAAACACATTCTAATAAAAAATAGAAACAAAAAATGTAAAAGATTTGATTTCCAAAAGAAAACTATACCTGGCTTTACCAAGTCACAAAAATAAAACATGTGGTAAGTGCTATGTACTTTTTAAAAAATTTATTGTTGTGTTTTTGAGACAGGGTCTTGCTATTAATTCTGGCTGTCCACAAATTTACAGCAATCCTCCTGCCTCAGCCTTCCACGTGCTAGGATTACAGGTATGCACCACTGCACCTGGCAAGTAAATATATTTTATAGGTGAAGAAAATGAGAGTTAAGCAAAATGCATGTTTCCTACTCAGGCCAAGACTTCAGAGCCTCATACTTACTCTGTGTAATAGTCATTAAATGTTGTGATAGACAGTAGTCAACAGAGACCAACAGCAACTCCTGATTATACTTTATATTTGTTCATTCAAAACTCTTTTGTTCACAAATAATAGGATACATCAAAATTACCTATGTTGTTTAATGTAAACTCTCAGTTCTCAGCACAGGGCAAGAGAATTCCAGTCTCTGCAGAAAGGCCTTCTGGAGACGTTTTTTTTTTTTTTTTTTAAACCCATGCTGCAGGTGATTCTAAGGTAAGTGGTTGGCAAGCAGACTGACAGATACATATGCAGCAGTTCATTTTCCAAAGTTAGCCACAACCAAGCCTTCCATTGTACATGGTCTAGGAATTTTGAAATCTCACCACTTCCTTTTAAGAGGTGGATTCCATGTTCTGTATCCTTGAAACTGGCTGGATTTTTGTGGTTGGTTGATCAATAATAGATTATGATGACTACGATGTGAATGTGGCTTCCAAATTAGGTCAAAAGAGACACATTCAGCTTCTATTTGTGCTTGCCGGAACTCTCACTTTGGAAGTCTGCCACCATGCAGTGGAGAAGGCCACAGTTCCCCAGCGAGGCGCACTGAGGGGAGTGAGCAGCCAGCTCCTGGTGTAAGGAGGCATCTTGCAGCTCCGTCTTCTGGCCGTTCAAGCTGCCCAGCCTGAGGCACATGATGCACAGCTGTGTTCCTGGCTAAGCCCTGTCCAAACTGCACACTCCCAACCCTACAGTTGCTGTTATTCTACCGGGGCAACCTCTCATGTGCCCTTCCCAAAATCTTCTCAAAGCATCTGTGTCCCACGTTACTGATCTTTTAGTTCACTAACAAGCCATTTCAGATTCCTGGTTATTTGAATTCTCATTTTTCCCTCTCAGCCTTAGTTTTTTATTCAGGAGGCACTGGGAATAATCCAACCTAACTCGTCTTCACAATCAATGAGATGATCCATGTAAGGAAGCAGTTAGCACCATTCTCACACAAAATGTTGCGTGTTATTCTTACTGGGTTCACCCATTCACAGTCTCAGTTTCTTTCATTCACTTTCTTGTTTTCCTTTTTTGTGGCACAGTGTCACTTCACAGACTATTTCTTTTTTGTCTTTTTCCTTTTTATTGGTACCGGGGATCGAACTCACGACTGCCTGCTTTCAAGGCAGGCGCTTATGCCGCTGAGCTAAATCCCCAGCCCCTTCACAGACTATTTCCTGTGCCAGGCGTGCTCTTCCCTGACCTAATCCACTACCTTCTTACTCATTTTTTTTAGGTCTCTACTCTTTAAGACGCCTTCCCTAAATTCTAAAGCAGTTAATGCCTTTCTGTGCTTAAATAGCACCTTAGAGGAATCTGTCACAACCCTTAACGTATTAGACTGTGATCATTTGTCTAGCTCTGAGGGTACACTGGACCCCGGACAGCATGGCCAGCCTCGTTTCTTTGCAGTCTTTCGTCCTCAGTGCCACCTGGTACCACTTCGTTTGCCATCTAGTGTCTCAGACTGTGATAAGGCTTTGGCAGACTTACCTAGAAAAAAATAGTCCCACCTTCTGCTGCAACCTAGCAAGGTAACTCCCTAACGTCTGTTTTAAAATGAAGATAGCTTCTCCTAAAGACAACTGTGAAGACTAAGTAAACTACCTCAAAAGGAAAATGCCTAACAAGGGTTCAATCATCAGGGCACAATGCGTTCGAAACTATTTCCGTCCCCACCCCTACTCACTGATCTTCCATTTTAGCTCTCCATTCTAGAGATAACCCCTCCTTTAGGGGTACTCTGCGTTCTCCCATCCTAGTATAGCTAGCAATTCTTCGTCTCAACTGCGGGGTGCAGGCATTCAGAAATAATTCTTAGAGCTCCTAAATCGCTGCATTCCCTACTCCCTGGCCTAGGGATGTAGCAGAGGCATGATTTATGCAAATATATAAGTTCTGCAAGACTGGCGAGACCCACAGTTAGAAGCCTGACGAGCGAGTTTAGGTCGGCTAGGGCGCACGTCCGCAGTGGCTGCCGCAGCCACACCGAGCCCTGGGGTAGGGCAGACGCGGTGAACTGGCAGAGGAACAAATGAATGGGCTACGTAATGGGCGGAGCCTCTGTGACTCCGCCCCCACCGCTGGCGCGCCCTTGCGTGCCTGAAGAGCCTACAGGCTCGGACCGCCCTTTTCCCTCCGCCTCGGCGCCCGCTCGACCTCGGCGCGGAGCTCCTCCCGCCTCCCCTAGGTCCCCGCCCCGTCGGGCGCGTCACTTCCGCCACCCCCAGCTGGGGTTGGGGGGGGTAGCACGGGGAGGGGGCCAGGTTGGAGGGAAGCCGCCCGCGCCTGAGGAGGGACTACATTTCCCGAGGGGCCTCGGCAGCGGCGGCGGCGGGCGCGGCGACGTCCCCCGGAAGTGGAGCCTGGGACTTCCAGTCGTGCGTGAGGCGAGCGGAGCCGGAGACGCGACCAGAGGCCGAACTCGGGATCTGACAAGATGGCTGGGCTGCCCCGCAGGATCATCAAGGTAACCGCCCCGACTGGCCTCCGGCTCCTTATCCTGCACCGTCCGTCAGTGGGGCGGGCCGCGCGGCCTCGCCTTTCTCCGGCCGGCGCTGAGCGGCCCTAGGCGGCGCGGAGGGGGTCTGGCCGCCGCGGCGAGGGACGTCGAGCGCTGAGGAGGGGGCGCTCGGGAGACTTCCGGCCGCGGCGGGGCAGCCTGGCGGCGGGAACGCGGCTTGGTCGGCTCCCAGACGGACTGCAGGGCTGCGGGCTCGGGCCTTTGGCGCGGGCCTCCGCGGTCTCCCGGACCACCCCCGGCGGAAGCCGCGGGCGCGCGGGGATCGCGGCGTGGCCCGGACTCGCGGCGGGGACTGTGGCCTAGCGTGGTCGCCGGGCCCTGAAACCCGGATTCTGCCTGGGCTGGAGCGCGGAGGTGCGACAGCCCAGGTACAGAATGAATGAACCGGCCGGGCGGGGCCCTGCGCTGCGGGAGGCGGCCCCGGGAGGCCGCGCCTCAGGCCCGGTAGGCACTGGTCGCCCCTTGCTGCCGGCTCCGGGATTGGGGGCCCCGCGCCCCGCTGCCCTCGCTTCCGCGATCTGCTCTTTGCTGAATGCATTTCCGCTCTTTATCGCCGCGAAGTGATTTCACTCCGGTTGGTAAACTCTTTTCAGAGCGGTTTCTGTTCCTAGGAAATAGTTTTAACAGAAGGTTTGGAGGACCGCAGTGATGGGGGATCTTGTGACATCTTTTGCCTCACGATGTTGTGCGTTTTAACGATTAAATCGTCTTTTGGCTTTATACTCTTGTCAAGTACATATGGAGCTATGAAAAATTCCCAAGGTACCTGGATCTTGTAAAGTCTTTACATAATGTCGCCGAGTCCTCAGACTTACTGAGTCTTTTTGCAACCCACGAAAACTAAGCCTTGAAAAAAATTTTTTTCGGTCAGTTTTTATAAAAGAAATTATTTGAACATCTGCATTGTTGGGGCTGCACCGGGCGCGATATAGCCTGGTGAACGTGTATCATGCAGTCACAAGTTTAACTGAGATTGGGAGGTGGGTAATTATCGACCGAAAGGTAGATATTAGAAATGAGAGAAAAACAGATAGTAAGTGTGGAACCTAATAATTTGACTCTTCGTTTTGTGTTATACATTTGTCTCAGACTGTGCGAGGTGGTTTAACTGCCACACATATAGGAAGGTACTTTTAGTTGTGGTGCAATCCCATGTTCACCAGTGATAGTGTTTATTGAGGCCCCAGTAGAAAAATGAAAGCTGTGTACCAAATATCTTAGAATTTTTGCTTATTATTTAGGTTATAAACAAGTACGTAACAAATTGACAGTGAATATAACTTCTTTTACCAACAGCAGACTGAAACAGTTTTCCATTTTTGTTTGATTTGGAAGATATTCCTCAGTAATAGGAAAGCCTCGAATGGTAAAATAAATTCTGTGAAATCTTTTTTATAAATTTATAGAAATGATTTGCTGCAAAAAGTAGGTATCTTTATAATTCCCCTTAACATGCAATTAAATTTACAGCAAGTATTTAACTATTTAAGTGATTAACTTAATCTTGCACTATAATCTTATTTTAATTTCTATTTTATTGATGGCATCTCTAAAGTATGTACCTTGATTTTCTTTGTTTTTTGGCAAAAGTTAAAATTTGGTGACTTAATAGCCTTTATAATTGTAAAGACACTTCTTCAATGCCTAGAAAGGATTAAAAGGTAGAAATTGATAGTACCCTTGCTTGTAGTATGTAGGCTGTTGTATAATTAGTGAAAATACTTTTTCTTTTGGTACTGTGAAATTTGAACTCAGGACTTTTCACATGCTAGGCAAGTATGCTACGCTAAGCTATGTGCTCTCCTGAAAATGCTTTTTGTGTAGCTGTGTGGAATATACTGGGGATGAGGCCTTGACAGTGAATTGCACCTGTGGTTGGTGGATCTATCACTCTCTCTCTCTTGTAAATTTTGAAACAAGGCCTTGTTAAGTTGCTAATGTCCCCAAGCTGGACTTGATGAACTTGCAGTCCTCCTGTCTCAGGCTCCCAGAAGAGTATCACCATGACTGGCTTATTTTTTTTAAATATCAGAATTTATTTTAAAAAGTTACTATTCTGCCAACCATTACGACAGGTACTATGTGGAATATAATGGTGGGTGGAAGGTAGCTGTACTGTCTTGAGGTGATAGAAGCATAACTTCTTTTATTGGATTTTTTTTTGGTGACTTTATTGTTGCTTATGTATCTGTTACTATTCTTAGTGAATGGAAATATTAGGGTGGCTTGGTTTGAACAAGTATTAATATGATGCTCTCCATGTCATAATGGTCTTTATTTACATTTGCATATTTCCTTAGCCATTTGATGCTTGCAGAAATTTGTGAGTAAAAAATTCTTTTTTTGTGAACTAGACAGTATGTTTACAGTCTAGTAACTGATTCAAATGACTTTCCTAAGGTCTTAAACTGGCAAGAGACGGAACTTGGATCTTGGCCAGTGTGACTCTCGTCTCTTGTTACTGGGAAATGACATGAGGTATGTACAAGTACCTTGACAACTGTGAATAACTTTTATCTGTAGATGTCCTTTTTGGGTTACTGTTCACCCAAGTGCTTTCTTACTCTAATTCCTGTATCTAATCCATAAGCACATTGAAAGTGCTGTATCTACTTTGAAAATTTGTTGCGTGGCCTGCTGTTTCTACATACTTTACCCTTTTTTCATAGGGAGGGTACTGGAGATTTAACCTAGGAATGCTTTTACTGAGCTATAATACCCAGTCCTTTTTTCCAGTCAGGGTCTGGTTAAGTGGCTTAGGCTGTCTTCAAACTGCCTTAGCCTTCCAAGTAGCATGCACCACAGTGTTCAGCTTGTATTAGTCTTTTTTAAAAAAATGATTTTTAAAGATAGAGTTTCTCAGTGTAGTTTAGGCTTGCCTTGAGTTTATGGTGTCCCCCTGCCTCAGCCTACCAAGTGCTGCATCGCCATACTTGGCTTGTATTAGCCTATTTCTAAGCCAGGGTTATCTTTTAAAAATACAGATGGTGTTACTTCTTTGCTAAAAAACGTTCTCCACATAACAAAATCCTGGTTTTCCTCTCTGAGCTCATCCCCTGCATCCCTGTTGCACTGCTGCACCCTCAATAGGAAGTGGTGAGCTCACTACAGTCACAGGACTTCACTCCTACAGCCCTGTCACACTTTGGTTTTATAGCAAGCACTCTTTACTCACAAGTATCCTCCAGCCTATCTTAACTGCTTAGTATAAACCAGCTTCTTTTACCACCATTTCTCTTTTTTGTATATAGCATTCATCACTGCTCAAAGATAGATGAGGACTTTTGAGTGACCTGGACATTGCTCTTTACTGCCCAGAATAATTCTTGGCACATGGTAACCACTGAAATATTGATTGAATGAATAAACCTTATTTTTTTTTTCTTTTTCTTTTTTTTTTTTTTTGTCTTTTTCCTTTTTATCGGTACCAGGGATCGAATTCACGACTGCCTGCTTGTAGGGCAGGCGCTTATGCCGCTGAGCTAAATCTCCAGCCCTAAATAAACCTTATCTCTTTGGAGAAAAGTTCTAGGAGAGTTGTTACTCTGTGTCATAACTTGACAGTGCTGTAGGTTCTATCTGAAGAGTGTCTGAGCTGAAGCCTCATATTCCTAAATTGGATGCTGTGATGCATGCTTGTAATTGTAACACTCTAGGAGGCTGAAGCAGGAGGATGACAAGTTTGAGGTCGGCCTAGGTGACTTAATGAGACCCAGGCAAAAAACCAAACCAAAACAAAACTGGGAATGCATCTCATTGGGATGATCCTGGGTTCAGTTCTCAGTTACTTCCTCACCTCCAGATCTTATTCCACCCATTCGTTTATTTAAAAAAAAAGTCAGTCTTTTGCATTATTGAGTAGAACTTTACAGTGCAGCCTGTAGAAAGGCTCACAGGTGTGTCCAATCTGTGGCCCGTGAGTGGCTTGCCTCCTTTTTTAAAAAATGTAATAACAAATGTAAAAAATACAATAGATTTTGTTGCTTATCTATATAGTATGCATTTTGTATATAATTCAAAATAATTTTTCTTCACTCGGTGTAGCCCAGGCAGGCTAAAAGGTTAGGCATGCTTGCAAAGGTACAGGGAGAAAATTAAAGACTCCCTCAGTTATCCTTTAGTGTTCTCTCCTCAGACAGCCACTATTTTTAGCTTTTTTTTTCCCTTTTGTCTTTTTGAGGTAGGGTTTTGCTGTGTTGTTCAGGCTGGCCTTGAACTCACTTTGTAGCCCCAAATGACCTTTAACTTGCTGCAGTCTTTTTGCCTCGACCTCTTGAGTGTTGGGATTCCAGGAATGCACCAGCTTGCCTGGCTTTTAATTTAATTTTAACTTCAATTAATTTATCTTTTGACATGAGGTTTTGCCTGGTAGCCCAGGCTGACTTCAAACTTGTGATCCTCCTTCCTCAGCTTTGTGAATGGTGGAATTACAGGTGTGCCACCATGCCAGGCTGGCCAGTCACTATTTTTGTATTTTTCCTGAAAAGACTGAAGCAACTCAGTGTTTATATGCTAGACTTCTTCCCCTCTTCATGCAAATACCTTGATCCTCCTCACCCCCAGCCTCAGTTCCAACCAACAATTTATCTCTGAAGTAACCTTCCTCTTTTTTTTGTTAGACTTTTAACAGATTGCTTATTAGTAATTTTTAGATTATTCCCCAGGGTGTGCTATGCAAGCAGTGGTATAAAGAAGAGAAACTGCCAGCTGTGGTGGTACACACCTATAATCCCAGCCAGCTGGAGGCAGAGATAGAAGTATGCCTGTGAGTTTGAGGCCACCCTGGGGAACATAATAAGTTCACTACCTGACAAAAACCCAAAAAGAATAGAAATAATACAGCAATGTGATCAGTGAATATGGCGTTTTGTCTAAGTCTTGGCATTCTGTTTTTAGCCAGAAATTTTTAAATTTACCTTTTTTGCTTTTTCTGGCCAAAACTAAAC